TTGATATTTTAACTTGAACGGACTGAGTCCAGACTCCAGAGTAATTGGTTGAGCCTATATCAGTCAATTACTAAGAAAATTTAAACTAAAAAACTGAGTACAAAGGTTCTTTTCATCTTATTAGGTCTCTATGCAGAGCAGTTCAAGCATGGCTGTTTTCTTCTGCTGGTGAAAGGATTGTAGCTAGTCTAAGGAAAACCTTGTTCAGCCACCTTATCCATCAGGTAAGGCCAATGATATCAATAGTTAGTTGCAAGATGTATATCAAGTTGATTATCAGTACTGTGGGTTTAAAATACATGGTTCATGGTATCCTTAAGTCTTATAACTGATAAGATCCCAAGCATCACGTTCTGACACAGTCCAAGAGACCAAGGATTTGCAGCTTATTCTGCTTTTCTTTCTTATTAGCTTTTACCTAGAACTCAGTGATTCTGCATTAATGATCCTAAAATGGTTCATCAGGAAATAGCTTTCTTTGATGTTGCTTCAATAGGCGAACTCCTCAACAGGCTATCTGAGGACACCCAGATCATTAAAAATGCAGCTACAACCAATCTTTCAGAGGCACTTCGAAATCTAACGACTTTCATTATTGGCATTGGCTTCATGTTTTCAACATCATGGAAATTAACGTGTATGTTATTGCTTGTTCAATTAAGTTTGGTTAGTGATATTCTTCAAGATAGTATAGCAATCACAGTGGCTATTATTCATACTTAGTGCTAGCATCGGCGGTAGTGCCAGTTATTTCAGTTGCTATACGAAAATTTGGGCGCTACCTCAAGCAACTTTCGCACACAACACAAGCTGCAGCTGCATTAGCTGCCTCGGTTGCTGAGGTTTGTAAGAAGTATATATGATTTACTTTGGTTTGCCCTGCTTGGTTTTTATGCAATTTATAATTTGAGCCTTTCATATGCAGATATTGAGATGATCATACTACGTTATTGATATTTTATGGCAAGTGGGATTGTTTTGGAACCATATATAGTTATTGGCCTAGATATTCCATATTGTTAGAAGCCCATTGAAAGACAGCAAGAGAAGTTTGGTTTTAAAATTAGTTTTGATATATTCAAATGATGTGTGAAAACTCATAGCAATACACCTAATAGTTAAAAATGTTTTTGTTTTTCAGAGTTAGGAACAAGAATTTGCATTTTGCAATTTCACCAGTCAGTTTTCATAAGTTCATATTTACTTTAAAACTCAAATGAATTTCTAAAGTGGTCTGCTTAAAATCCAGAGATATGTTTTCAATATCGTGTATCATTAACATTTTAGGTGTCATAGACAAGTAAGGCAAGTATGGTAAGATTTGTTTGTAATAACTTTGAATTCCACACTTCATGAGCAACCTTGATGCTTAGGAATCTTTTGGAGCCATTCGAACAATTAGATCGTTTGCTCAAGAAGGTTATGCAATTTCAAAATACTCTGAAAAGGTTGATGACACGCTGAAGCTTGGACTCATACGAGCTGTGAGTTTCTGGAAGCTCGCCCTCTCTCTCTCTCTCTCTCTCTCTCTCTCTCACAAACATGCACACACGTATTCATAATCAATGATATTAGCAAAGGAAAATTGCATAAGTTCTACTGTTTTCTACAACAGAAAGTAGTTGGTCTATACTTTGGAGGGCTAAACATTGCATCCAAATTGTCTATTATCATAGTGGTGATCTATGGAGCCTACTTGACAATCATGGGATTTATGAGTGCAGGTTCTCTTACATCCTTCATCCTTTATAGTCTCACAGGTACTTCTCCCTGTTCACTTCTAGCCAAATTTACAAGTTTTTGACTAGTTTTATGTTCAATCCGGAATTTGGTCTGAGCAAATTCACTGAAATATTTTTTGCATGGTAGGTTTGTGATTAACAACGTTCTATGCTTAAGCTATGCAGTTTATAAAGAGATTGCTTTCATGGCAGATTCTGAGCAATAAATTTTCATACACCTCTCTCTCTCTCTCTGCCTGCAGTTGGGTCCTCAGTATCCTCTTTATCAGGATCATACGTATCTGCTATGAAAGCAGCAGGGTCAAGCAGGAGAATTTTCCAGCTCCTAGATCGTGTCTCCAGCATGCCAAAATCTGGAGATAAGTGCCCAGTGGGGTCAGTCAAATTACAATATCATTAAATTCAAATTCCAGTAGCTTAGTCTTATGCCAGGCTGTGAGAGAAATTTGTGTGACAGTGTTGAAATCAAGCATTCACCTATTTCTACACCTCTTCTTGTCCAGACAATGATTGCATTTAATCCATGATTTTATACTGTCAATGGCAGAAATCCTGATGGAGATGTAGAATTGAATGATGTCTGGTTTGCTTATCCTTCTCGCCCAAGTCATATGATACTTAAGGTAATGGTTTCTCTGCTGAATTTAAGCATGTCACACCATTTGAAACCAAAAACTCAAACATATTGTCCTCTATTAAATTAAGCCATGTTTTGCCTCAATAATGTGCATTATTGATACAATGGTGATGCAAATTGATGTCGTCAGTCCTTCCTTTGAGGATCTACATGCTAAACTTGAAGAATATCAACAGTAAAAAATGGGGAAACGGAAAAGTAAATGTTTAATAGTTAATTCTGGCTCTTTTATCTCCCCAAAATTGTAAGAATTTGAAAATTTACTAGCACGTAGATTGGCATTGCTCAACCCAAAGTATGGTGTCTATCCTGCCTAATAAGAAATTAACTACAGAATGAGCATTTCGTTTTTGGGATTTTATTTTTGTATCAGCATCCCCAAGGTGAAGTCAAGGAATTTTAGCATTTGTGAACTAGACAATGTAAATCTGATCGGACTGTTTGAATTGCAGGGAATAACATTGAAACTGAAACCTGGTTCAAAAGTTGCCCTTGTTGGACCAAGTGGTGGTGGAAAAGTAACATTACCATCCCTTTTCCGTTTCCCCTGTTTCCCTGTTATAGTATTTCTAGGCAGTTGATGTCATTCTCTTTTGCTGGACAAATAAATGAAGTTAAATTTCCAATCTGTTGCAGACCACCATAGCAAACTTAATTGAGAGGTTCTATGATCCTCTGAAGGGAAAGATTTTGTTAAATGGAGTTCCTTTAGTGGAAATATCACATGAATATCTTCACAGAAAGGTAGTGCTTTTGCTGATTTCTCTCAATATCTGCATGGCCTTCATAGAAACTCTAATCAAGTTCATCAGGAAACATGATTTGAACAAACTCGCCGATTTTTGAACATGAAAGCTTTTCATTTGCATTTGGTTATCAACTTTATCGACAACTTTTCCGCATTCCTGCAGCTTTCGTGGCCTTGACTTAAAACAGAATGAATGGAAGCATGACATAGTTTACATTTTCTACCAACCTTCCAATTATATAAAGTGTATGATTTCATCAATTTGGATTCACATAGTAGACATGATAGTTCCTCTGAATGCTTGGCCTAAATGCTTTAACATATTTGCTTCTTTTTTATCATTTGGATTTCCCCGATATTTCTTAGACACCCCCACTCTCCTTGTTTTATGGAATGCAGGTTAGTATAGTTAGGCAGGAACCGGTTCTTTTCAATTGTTCGATAGAGGAGAACATTGCCTATTGGTTCAATGGCAAAGCTAGCAGTCCTGAAGTAGAATCCGTTGCTGTAAGTTATAATCGTCTTCTAACTTCTATCTTTATATTTTACCAAAAAAATTAAACCTCCTTCACAAATTTCAATATTTCCTGATAAAGTAAGATGGTGCAGAAAATGGCTAATGCCCATGAATTCATAGAAAAATTTCCGGAAAAGTATCAAACGGTAGTTGGGGAACGTGGTTTGAGGCTATCAGGAGGTCAGAAACAAAGAGTAGCAATAGCAAGAGCACTATTAATGGATCCAAAAGTGTTGCTTTTGGATGAAGCAACAAGTGCTCTGGATGGTGAGAGTGAATACCTTGTTCAGGTGAGATTTACTGTTGCTTATTAGCATTTAAGCTTGTTCATGATGTTCGTTTCTCGACCTTGATATATTATCATCCTCTTCATAGGATGCTATGGATTCATTGATGATGGGTAGGACTGTTCTTGTCATAGCACACAGGCTTTCAACTGTCAAAAGCGCAGACAGCATAGCTGTTATTTCTGATGGTCAGATAGCTGAGAGTGGCACTCATGAAGAGCTTCTCAGACAGGATGGTATCTACACTGCACTTGTCAGGAGGCAACTACAAGGACCAAACACCGATATCTAGTTTAAAGTAAAACTATGTCCGAATACTAATACTAAAGTATGTTTGTATCTGGGATATTCATCTCAGAATCTTTAATGAAACTGGTCGAAAAGACTACTGCTAGACTACTTCTCAGATTGTTACAATAGTAAAATAAAAATATATCAACTGCCTGATAGCACATGTTTTGAATGAAACTCATGAAGGCAAATGATTCTGAGATGAAGGGAAAAAGAATGCTCACTTTGCAGAATGCTTGTTGAGAATAGAGTAGTCTAATATATAATAATTTTTTATTCCTTGCAAATACAGGAGAATTACCACTTGAACCAAATGAAAGTTTTAGTATTTGGTTTTTTTCTTTTTTCCTAAGATAAAAGTCCAGAAAATGCTTGATATGTTAATATTTTAAAATGAAAGAAACAACAAAAGATATGTCTAATACTTAAACTCCTTTTCCCTTTTTTTTTTTTTATAAAAAACAGAATATTTCTATACTGCAAATTTATCAGAATTATTTTCCTTCCCAAAGGCTTGATGAATTTTCCAAATCACTAGATAAAAGAAATGAGAAACAAGAAGAAAGATACTATTGATCCATCCAAATTTTCAGGGTGCCCTAAATACAAATAAAACACAATTTAAATGAACCTAAACATTCAACATTGGTAAATTGAAGTAGCTAATACTCTCTCAGAATGCTGCTCAAAGTATTGCAAAAACCAGCTCAAAGGAAGGCAGCTGTTATTGCAGTCTTCTACAGAACACAAAATCTGCAGAGAGGGACTAAGTGTTCGAGGTTATAAGCATACATCATACACCCAAAGCAAAGCAAAGTTTGTAAAGAAAAGAAGAGGAAAGAAAGCTCAAATGTGACCAGAAGAAATGGCACAGCCAAAACAGAACTCAGCTACAATTTGATTCACTGTGATACAGGTATCTATAAAAGTCATCAAGTGCTCACCCTAATGTCCGATACATTGTCTGCCCAATAATTCATACTAAAAAGAAATATCAACTAATCCTAGAATAAAGAAATACAAGTTGGTGCTGCAAATATGGGAATCGATCCCAAAATTCAGCATAGCAGTAAGACATAAGGCTTAAGCTAAGTAAACTATCACAGCAACAGAGTCTTTGACAGATATGAAGCTAAAGCTGACTGATATGAGCCTTGAGTGAAAAAATAAAACTTGAACTTAACACTGCACTGCAGGGCAGAAACTTTTAAATAGTGATGGTGCAGAAAAAAAGCAGAGGCTTCAATTTACAGAAGCCTTATAGGGTGTTTGTTGTATTTGGCAATTACAAGGGAGAGAAGATATGTTGCAATAACTGAAACGGAATATGTTAGAGGTGGCAGAGAGGAAGACTAGAGCAGTTCTTAAAATATTAATGCTTTGACAAGAAGCAATGAGGAAAAAGAAAAGATGAAGAAAATGATAGATTACGGCGGATGGGAAGGGTTAAGTAAAAAGAAAGTTTAGAAAAGAATTGAGAGAGCTTTTGAGTATAATCTCCATTAACTTTCCAATAATTTTTCATTGTCTCCAATTTTCAAAGTTCTCATATTTATACAAAACAGGAATGTTTTCTTAGAAGCAATTAAGAAAACACGTTTAATTATGAAAAAACGTATTTGTCATGCAAAAGCACGTTAAATAATGGTTTATTGGATATGAAGTTCAATCATGGAAGAACATGCTAGTTATGGAAGAGAACATTAAACAATGGCTTATGAAATCTTACGAGAATGACCATGTGGTTAGATAATGGGTATAAACTTTGGATAATGGAGTAGTGATATTTAATAGTATGTCACAGGTACTCTTAAAAAAAAAAGAAAGAAAAGGGTAAAGTAAGAAATGTTAAAAGGAAGTCTTCTTAACTATCTTCATATCTAAGTCACTGACCCAAATTCTTTAGAGCATCTCAACATAAAAATAACCAATGAATCTTACCACTCGTTCTAAGTTACTTTCATTTCTCAATATGAAATAACTATTCTACGTTTGTTTATATTTTGTAATATAATACTTCAAGAAATAATAATTAAACAAAATTGGGAACCTTCATTTTACCCCTACATAAAAATTCTTACAAAAGGTTTTATATATAAAATAAGAAGATGCACATAAAATAAGCAAAGCCACGCTTTTATATATTTTTGTTTTAAAGAATAAAGAATAACTTGTAAATTTATGCATTTATTATTATTTTTTTGTTGTGGTTATGCGTTTCGCGCTTGGGATCGTCCCTGGGTGCTTACATGTTTGAAACATCTCTGGGCATTTTCACACTTGGAATGCCTCTAAAACACTTAGTGCAAGTCTTTACCCATGCATGAAAATTTTATTATTGAAAATAAAAATTTCATATATAATTAAAATATTAAAATTAATAATAAACCTTAAATATTAAGATTGTTTTCTTTTTAATTAGGCAAACAAGATATGGGCTTTATTTGGGAACGTCCCCACGTGTTACGCACTCATAAAAAAATGTGAAATGTCCAAGAAACGATTGTGTCATTCTTTAAAAGTGAAAAGACTTCCACTTGCCGCCATAACTTAGATGCAGTCACCTATAGGTATCCATAGAGTAAAACAAATTTATCATGTATTTTGATGGTGTCAATGCTTCAACATTGATGATAGTGTATTATTTAGAAGCAGGTAATTTTTCTTTCTAGGCATTATGATTTACTTTAAGCATTCTCATTGACGTATTATAAGAATTTAAATGCAGGAGCACGCTAATATTCGATTTCAAGTCCACCCATTTTCTTTTCTGAATTTTCAACTACCAATCAGTGCCATAATAAGAGTATTGAACTACAAGTTTTGCAAATCTAAGAATACAAAAAGCAAAAACCATAGAAAAAGGAATTATAATAGTTTCACTGCATAAATAACTTATCTGAATTAAGGATCTTTGAAGACTATTCAAGCCAAAACCAAACATTGTCTCCAGTTTTGATAAATATCATCAATGTCACGATGACAACCAATGCATGAAACAAACACATAAAAGAAACTCCATTCAACATGACAAATCTTGTTCTTTTAAGAAATAAGATATTTTCACTTGGTCAAATTGCTTTCATGCATTGGTCAAGTCTCTCAAAATTTGATGGGATCTAACTTGGTTACCATGTTAAGTTTGTGAGCCAAGAAGTAATGACAAAGCTTCTACATTGCGGACACTAATGCAAGACAATAATTCTCTATCAGTGGGTAATTTAATTCACTTCCATGTAAACATCTACTCAGGTAACACATAGGTCGTTCTTGCCCCTCCACTTCTTGAATAAGTAAAACACCAATTGAGTGTGAAATTGAAATGAGGTACAACATCATTGGTTCCCCTTGGATTGGTATGGTCATTGTCTTGGGAAAAGCAAGAATACTTTTGCTTTTCTTATAGGCTTGTTGTTGTTGCTTACACTAGAAAAATGGAACCCTTTTGTTGAGAAGAGCTTGGAAGGGCATAATGATCTCCCTTAGGGCTGGAATGAACCTCCAATGTAAGAAACTATCATTAACAAGCTTTTAAATTGCTTCTAGTTCGATGAAAGTAACATTAATTGAATAGCCTTTATCTTCACAAGGTGCATGTCTATGCCTTTTTGGTGAACCACGAAACCCAAAAACTTATCAATTGTTACTCCAAAGGCACACTTCATGTGCAGCTTGTATTCTCAACATCGCTCGAACACTCTTCTCAAGTCTCCAAGATGATCTAGAGTTTTTTTAGACTTCACCACAACGTCAAACTTGTAATCTTCCAAGCAATCATGCATCATGTCATGGAAAATGGCTACCATGGCACGCTAATAAGTTGTATCCGCATTCTTCAATCCAAATGGCAAAACTGTATAATAAAAGTTACCAAATCGTTTTGAAGGCTATCTTCTCTGCATCAGCTGGTGCCATCCTTATTTGGTTATATCCACTGAAGTCATTCATGAACGAAAACCTCTCATGACCAGCAATAGCATCCACAAGAGTATCAATTTTTGAAAAAGGAAAATCATCCTTGGGACAAACTTAATTTAGATCTCTAAAGTCCATGCACACCCGGATTGCTCCATTCTTCTTTACAAGAACCACATTAACTAGCCAAGTTGAATAATGTATTGGCTTGATGAACCTAACTTTAAAGAATTTGTTGATTTTCTCCTTTATCTGGCTTTCTTTACAAGAACCATGTTAGCTAACCAAGTTGGAGAAAGCAACAAATTATAACGAATAGGAAAGGTTAAGTCAAAAGAATGTTTGGACGAGAGCTCTTTAAGGATAATCTCTATTGGGTTTCTAATAATTTTTCATTACCCTCGAGAGAATAATTTCAATTATGGAAGAACGTGCTTGTCATGGATGAACTCGTTCAAGAATAACTTATTGGATATGAAGTTCAATCATGGGAGAACGTGCAAATCATAAAAGAGTATGTTAAAGAACAACTTATGAGATATTAAGAAAATGATCATGTAATTGGATAGTAGGCTTAAGATTTGGACAGTGGAGTAGTGACACTTGATAATGTACTACATGTACTCTTAAGGAAGAAAGAAAGAAAAAGATAAAGCACAAATACTTCAAGGAAAGTTAAGAGGAAGTCTTCTTAATTATCTCCATATTTGAGCCACCAAATCAAACTCTCTAGAACATCTCAAACGTGAAGATAACTCATAAACCTTGCTACTCATTCTAAGTTACTTTCACTTTTCCATATGAAATAATTATTCCACACTTGTTCCTATTCTATATCACAATATTTCAAGAAATAATAATTAACCCAAATTGGACATCTACATAACTTTGAGTGCAAAAATCAAACTTGAATTTTATATTGCACTGCAAGGCAGAAACTTTTAAATAGTGATGGTGCAGAAAAAAGCGGAGGCTTCAATTTAAAGAAGCCTGATATGGTGTTTGTTGTATTTGGCTTGCTGTCTAGGTTTATGCAAGAACCCTTGCAATTGCACTTTGCAGCAGCTAAAAGAGGACAGAGCTATGTAAAAGGCACTTTTAATTATGGATTGTGGTTTAACAAAGCTGATAGCAATGAACTTGAAGGATATACTAACAGTGACTGGGATGTTTGGAAGATTCAAGAAGTACCTCAGGCTGTGTGTCCATCTTTGGGGTGCAGCATTTTG